GGAGGCTGAGGTCCAAGGTCAGGGCACCGATCGGCAGGGCTGTTTTCCCAGGGCCTCTCCCCATGGCTCGCTGAGGGTCACCTCTGCTAGTTGGTATCTGGACTTGGCGTTTTGTTTTGCTTTAAAAGATAGTGACACAAACGGTTCAGAACTATGCAAGTTCTGAAACATGCTGTCAATTTTACTTTAAAATGAATCTGGTGTTTCTGGATGTCACCGTTTTTAATAAAACTTCTTGAGAGTGTTGGCAACAACAGCAAAAATCTAGTGAAATAGATCAGTAGACGCTTTTATGGAAAAGTTCCAAGACATATTGTCAAGTGAGAGAAAGCAAGCTGTGGAACAATACGGAGGGATTTTAAAACCACAGACCACCCAGCGAGGCAAAACCGTGTGTTTTCGTGTGTCCATATGTAGGTGTGCACATCCGCCCACAGGCGAGAGAGTCTGGGACGGGGGCCAGACGGGGACTTCTCCTTTTCGTTCCTTCTGTATTGTTGGAAGGATCTTAGTTTTGTTTTAATTTAAAAAATGTGTTTGAATTGTGCAGCTAAAGAAAACATAAAACACCACAAGACTAGCAGGCTGGGCCAGCTGATGCCTGGACTGGGCTCCTAGAACCTCCACACTGGTGCTCTCTCACTGTGTGACTTTGGACAGGGAACTCCCCCTCTCTGGGCCTGAAGCAGGAATGTAAGCATTCTGGTGAAGCTGCCTGTCGTCGGGTTGCAAGCATGCTTGCACACAAACAACCATGTGCACACATGGCCATGCACCGACAGTCATGTGTGCCCACACACATGCGCACACATGGCGTACACACCAATACACCCATGTGGACAGTCATACGTGCACACAGGTGCACACACATCCATGTGCACACATGGAACACACCAAACACGCATCCAGTCATGCATGCACACACATCACCTGTACATACATTTTCATATGCACACACAAACCATACATGGATGTATGCACGTGCACATGCCTGTATGTACATGGGCACACAGGTGGTGTGTACAGGTGTGGCAGTGATGTATGCCCACACCTCTGCGTGTACACACCTGCACACATACTCCTGTATGTATGGCCCTAGGTTCTGAGCCCTGGACCTCTGAGTTTCTCTCCAATGCTGTCTCTGGATGAAGGTTCCAGTCCTTGCCTACCCCTGAGTCCTGGAGACTTTTTTTTTTTTTTTTTTGGATGGAGTCTCACTCTGTCACCCAGGCTGGAGTGCAGTGGCGTGATCTTGGCTCACTGCATCCTCTGCCTCCTGAGTTCAAGCAATTCTCCTGTCTCAGCCTCCCAAGTGGCTGGGATTATAGGCACCCGCCACCGTGCCCTGGAGATGTTTTAGCAGGAGAGAAATGGGCCAAGTTTGACTCACATGCTAGGGCCTGGAGGGGCAGCCGAATCTGTAGTCGGAGGGCAGGCTTTGAGTCTGCACCCAACACGACTTGCATGAGGTATTTGTGGGCCAGCCTCTGTCTTTCTGCACCAAGATTTCCTTTCCTGACAAGACCAGACTTGCAGGATCATTATGGGATGGGGATGAGCATTGTCAACTGGCAAGTTTCAAGCTGATGTGACCCTGTGCGTGTTCGAGCTGCCCAAGAGACTTGTTAAAGGTGGATTCTGACAGTCGCTCCAGGTGGGACCTGAGGACTTGCCTTTCTCAGGTGCTTCCAGGGACCCCACTCTGAGGAGTGAGGGGCTGCAGGGGCTGCAGAAGCTGCAGAAAACCCAGGGACTTCTCACCTCCAGAATTTGTACAAGGCATCTGCAGGAAGGAAAGAGCCGGACTAACCCTGCACAGGTGTTGCACTGGCTGCCCTGTGCTGGGCGAGGTGGGAGGTGGCTGAGCTGGGAGGGAGGGAGGGAGGGAGGGAGGTTGGTCCCTCGGAGGCCCCGGCAGGTGGCACTGTCCTCCCCGGCCTGCCAGGAAGCTGGAAAAAGCCCTGGGGCCCACCAAATCCTGTTACATCCTGGCAATTACAGTTTATTGCTGCGGCACTAATCCCTTAAAATTAGTCATTAGCAGCTTAAGAACCATTTAGCGTCCGTGCCCACTAAGGAGCTGGGGGAAGTGGGAAATCTGCCAGAACCAGAACTTTCTCTGGCCCAGTGGCCAGGGCTAGATGGGGACCGAGGCCTGGCGGCGCCTCCTGGGATCCTCATTCGCTATTTCTTTCCCATTCCACCTGGCAGGCACTTGAAGAGGATTTGACAAACTCGAGGGAAAGGGTTATTAAATCAGCCCGCAAGGGAGACATGTTATCAGGACCTCTGCTCTCCCTGGCTCACCCAGACATGTCCCTTGGGGGGTGGGACGGCTGCTCTGGCCCCGCCTATGCCTCTTCCTGGGAAAGGAAAAATCACACGGATCAGAGCAGAGCCGCCCAGATCTGTGCATCTCAGTGCTGGCTCTGGGGCCCAGCCTGGTGTAGACCCTCCCAGGGAGCCGGCAGGGGAGGGGCCAGCTCCAGGCTCCCCCAAAGGAAGGTGCTTTGGAGAGCCCTGGCTGTGGAGGGGGAAGGGGAGACCAAGGCAGAAAGGAGCCCCAGGTCCAGATGTGGACATGAGGTTGCACCGGGGAACGGGGCAGGGGAGGGCTTGTGACCCTTTAGCTGCAAAGCCCATCACGATGCCAGAGGCTGGGGGTGGAAGGCAGGCGTGGGCGGCGGTCCAGGCTGCAGCAACCCAAAGGTTTAGCAGCCCCAGGTCTTGAGAATGTGACACAAGGGCTCGGGGACGGGGTTGGAGTCCCGCGGTCCAAGGGGTCTGTGGCTGAGACCCCTGGTTCGGTTTTTCTGGTGTGGGTGCAGGCTGTGACTGTAGCTCCCTAGCCACCAGGTGATGGCAGAGCCATCAGTGATGGCAGAGCCAGTGGCCAAGGGGTCCCGGAGCTGTGGGGTGCGTGTCCACCTGGGAAGTCAGTACCAGTGCCTGCTGAGGCTGTGCCTCCCCCCAACACCATCCCGTTTCCTCAGCCTCTACCCCAAATCCTCCCAATAAATCCCATTCCCACCTTGGCTGGCTGGAATTTAGCTCTGACCTTGCAATCAAGACCAGCACTTATGGCGGGGGACTCCTGCCTGGCCCTGGACCTGGCTATTGCCCACCACGGACTGCTCCCCTTGCTGCTGGGGCAGAGGCCTTGGGCGTCTGTCCTGCCTGAGTTCTGGGCCCTCTGGCTTCAGGGCCCTCTTCCCTCCCCCAGGACAGTCCCTGACCTCTGGCCTCTGGGCCTGCTCCATGCCCACTTCCCACCTGTTGGGGTCCCATCTGCCTTCAGGGCCCAGTTGGACCCTGTCTCCTAAATTGCCTCAGCAAGAACCGACCCCTGCCCCTCTGCGTTCACAGCCAGGGTGGTGCTGGCTCCCTGGTCCTGAAGGGCCAGCTGAGCAGGGCTTGGTCCTGGAAGCTGGAGCCCTGAGTGCGTGTGGGGCTGTCACCGGGGCTGTTGGCAGTGAAAGGGTGATGGGAGCAATCTTGGCTCTCAGGCCGCGGCTTGGCAGGAATGGTGATGGGGAAAGTGGGGTGGTGGGGGCTGGGGCTTTAGGACCCTGGGATTGGCGTGGGGGGTGTTGGCAGAGGATTGCTCCAAGGTCAGACCAGGGTCTCTGTTCTGATTATCTGTGGCTATGGGAGCCACTTCCTGTGTGGGTCCCGGTGTGCTCAGCAGACACGTGGGGCAGCAGCAGCCCCAGGGCTGTGATGGGGCTGAGCGGTCTGGGACTTGGGTTTCAGTGTGAGAGCCAGTGGCTGCCCAGCTTCTGGTAGGGCTGTGTGTCTGTCTGAGGCACACGTGTGTCCAGGGGCTGAGTATGCAGAGCAGTCTTCACTTGACGTGGGGATGTCTCACTTCTCGTCTGCCCAGGCTGTGTCCTGCACAAAGCCTCATGGAGCTGAACCCCACGGGCTCCGAGGACCCCTCCGTCAAATCCCTTGAGCCCAGGAACCGAAGCCAATGCTGAAAAGTGACATAAGAGGTTCGGGGAGGACACACAGAAGGTATCAGGGACTTCCTGTTTCAGACCGGGGGTATACCCACCTCTCCCCATGGGTCACTCAGGATGGGCCCCCCAACTTCAAGCCCTGGAGGAAAAGGGGTTTCCTGGAGAAGGGTTTGTGGAGCCTGGTAGGGTGTTTAATGCTGGTGTGGGTGCTGGGAGTGGAAAGTGGGGCGAGGCAGGGGTGGTAGGGCCGGAGCTGCCCTGCCCTTGAGGAGTCTGGGTGGAGGCAGCAGCCCCGGCCCACAGCGTGCAGGCAGGAGTCAGGGTTCATGTCCCTGGTCCTATCTCCCCTGCCCCCGCCCCCACTGTGGGTCTCCCTCCGTCTGGAGCACGGCTCTGGGGCGAGGCTGTTCCTCTGGCTGCTTGGCTCCCTTCTGCTGGGTTCAGATAGTGGCACCTGCACTGGAATTTTCAGCTCATTTTCTCCATGGCTGGAGAAGGCTGGGGCCACCGAGCGGGGGGGCAAGGTGGAGGGAGAAGGGACTCGATCTCCAGCCTCAACGGCCGGGTGCTCCATCTGCCCCATGGGGTGGGGCCACCCCACACTCACTGGCTGCTCCCTCCGAGCCCCAAGCCCCTGGCTTCAGTGCTGCTAGCCAGGTCCAGGCCCTCCCTTGGCCATGGAGCCATGGGCACAGAGGAGAGAGTCCCCCTTCAACACACCCTTATCTGTGAGGGCAGCCCCAGAGCCTCCATCCCGGTTCCATCAGCCAAGGAAAGGCCAGAGCCGGGGCTGGCCTAGAGGCAGAGCTGGAAGCTGCCATGCGAAGGGGCCTCAGCCTGTGGGGTGGGGTCACCCCAGCCATTCTGGGTCCCGGCCGCCACCTGTGTTCTGGCTGCGTACTCCTGAGCAGAGATGCTTGACCCACCTGAGCGGCGGCAGGGCGGCAGATGGCAGGCAGCATGCTGCTGGCGGAGCTCCTTGCACTCCTCCCTCCCACTTTGCTAGGGCTGGGCCAAAGATACACAGGGCAAGTGGGAGTGTCTGGGGAGAAGACTTTATTTTACAAAGCGAGGAGCCAGGGCCGGTGGCTGACACCGCCCACCAGACTCTGGGATGTTGGGGTTTGCATGTGGGGAGGGTGTGGCTGCCCAGCAGGATGTCCGACAAGTCCCAGCGTGTCTGTCAGTCTTGCTGCTGGCCTGCTGGGCTGGAGAGGCAGGACTACACCCCATCTGTGCCTGCAGGGCAGGGGACCTGCAGGTCAGGCCGAGCAGAGCGGCTCTGGCTGCGCCCCTGAGGCTTTGGGCTAGGCCATGGTCTGGCGGCTGAAGAGCTCGAGGGTGAGAGAGCTGAGGAAGGCAGGGATGCTGTCCTGGCGCCGCAGGTGCACCTCGATGAGCTCTCCCACTGTGCAAGAGAACTCCGTCTCCAGCAGCTGCATCTTGGAGCCCGAGGGGCCGGTGGCCTGCAGGGTGGGCAAGAGACAGGACAGCGGTCAGCCTGGCAGCTCTCTCCCCTCCCTCCCTACACAGCCCCTCCAGCCACGGGGGCTCAGGAAGTGCTTCCCTCAGCCTGAGGACCTGACAGGGATAGATGTGTCCCCAGTCCTGCCAGGCCTTATTCCAGGTCACCTAAAGGGACTGAATTAACCCAGGGCAGGGTCTCTGTCATCTACACAGGCAGCTGGGAGTCCCAGGCACTGCTGCCACCTTGCGCCTTCCTCCTCTGCCTGGGAGTTTCCAGCACCTGCACCCATGCCCATGGCTGGCCCCAGTACCACTCTCCACTGAGGCTGGAGGACCCCACGCCCAGGCAACTCCTCCAATGTCTTCCGGACTGCCTAGGGCTCCCCATTCCTCACGTGTGCAGGGGGTGCTGGGGACCTGGTGGGAGGCCCGGCTCTGTGGATTCTGCAGCACAGGAGTCCCTTCGTGGCCTCCTCCTGAAACTGGAGAATGTGCAAGGGGAAGAGAGCTGGCCTGGTGACCAGGAGCTCCATGACAGCACTGCAAGCTCTAGCAGGGCAGGGCCCAGGGGCTTCAGGCCACACGGCAGGTTGGAGCCCATAGCCCTGGGCTATGGGGAGTGGACAGAGGCCTGGAGCCAGAGGGGGCTCAAAGGCCCTTCTGAGCAGGGACTCGGCCATCTTTCTCCCTCCCCAGCAACCGCCAAACACCCCCTGACCTGGAGACCACAGCAGGGAGGCTGCAGGTGGGAGGGGACACACACACTCCCAAATATGGGAGCCCTCTACTTCCCAGGCCAGGGCACCCCGTCTCCAGACAGCTCTGACTGACTTCTCACTAATGCCCAAATCTGCCCAGGCACCTGCCACACCTGTTCCCACCCGGCTAGTCAGGGAGTTGCCTGGGAGGGCACCCAGGCCCCAACCGTCCACAAGGCTGGAAGGTGTCCCACACAGCCCCAGATCAGGCAGGACACAAATCTAGCCCCATCACAAAGCTCCCTCTCAAACCATGTACCTGGAAAGTCCTGTACCCAGAATATGTCCACAACTCAACCATCAACAGAAAAGGGCCCAATTAAACAAGGGCCTGGAATGAATATCTCTCCAGAGAACACCTGCACATGGCCAACGAGCTCGTGCCAAGACGCTGGGCACCAGGGAAATGTGATCCACACCCAAGTGAGACGGAGACGGCCTTGCACTGATGGCCACTGAGAACAAACAGGCAGTGTAAGCTGCTGGGGTGAGGGGTCAGACCCTCCATGCCAAATGCTGGTGGCTCCTCAGAGCTGAACGCAGAGTCCGTGTGCCCGGTCAGGGGGTCTGAGCAATGTCGACACACAGACCTAGACACGGACGGCCGCAGCAACATCATCCCTTCCCTAACAGATGGAAAGAAGAACAAGGGCCGGAGGGAAAGACAAAACAGGGTTTACTCATCAATCCCACCTCGCGCAGCCAAGGAGGGAGGGGGCAGGAACCCTGAGACACGCTGCCACACAGGAGAACCCTGAAAACATGCCCAGCCAGACACACAGACCTGTCAGCACAACTCTGCCTAGGGGATGTCCTGGGGGGCAGGCCCTACAGGTGGAGTGTGGTGATGGCTGTGCACTGAATGTGCCGGGAGGAACAGACCCGCCCGTACGCAAGCTTGAGGGTGGGCCACATGGTGTGTGCATCAGAGCCCAGGAAACTGTTTAGTAAAGTGCTCCCTCCACCCGGCAGCCCAGTGGGAACCCTCCCCAGGAGCCCCAGGGCAGCCCGGCTGCACCCAGCTTGGTCCTGGCAGCTGCCCTGTCCGCTGGAGTGTGCCTGAGCTGGGCCCGGCCCTGATGGTGTCGCACCTGCTGTGCCCCCTCCACCTGTGGATCACGTGCTGCCCAGGAGCCCCTGCTGCCCGGCCTGTTCCTGCACCTCCTCCGTTCCTCGGGAAGCTGACCCCCCGCCCTCCCTCTGTTCCTGCTGCCTTAATACATTCGGCCTTGTCATAGTTCAACACAAAGCATTTTTAAACAAAAACAAGAGAAACCACTCTGACCTTTTACTAAGAAAATCCTTTCATTTCTGCCTTCTGTGCTTGATTCTGAATTTCTCCCCCTAAATGTCAGAGGGGGTGATTCTCCTGCAGCTGCTAGGCAGGGCTGGGAGGCAGTGTGGGAAGAAGACTCCTTGGCTGGCCCTCCACCCCTCCTCACAACCCAGGGCTGGCAACCCGGCGGGGTCAGGGGCACTGTGGCACAGTCTCCGGCTGGATGGAAGGACAGCTGTTGTCCAGGCACTCGCCTGCCCCAGCCCTCAGATGCTGGCAGGCCTTTGGGAGCCTGGGCTTGCTTTCCTAAAAATATTTTTTTTTAAGAGACATGTCTTGCTCTGTCACCCAGGCAGGAGTGCAGTGGCACGATCACGGCCCACTGCAGCCTCAAACTCTGGAGCTCAAGTGATCCTCCCACCTCAGCCTCCTGAGCAGTGCATGCACCATCACACCTGGCTTATTTATAAATTTTTCTAGAGAGAGTGTCCAGCGATGTGGCCGAGGCTGGTCTCAAACTCCTGGCCTGATGGGAACCTCCCACCTCAGCTTCCTACAAGGTTAGGATTATAAATGTGAGCGCTGATCATCCTTTATTTGAAACAGGTACACCTGCCAGCAAGACACCTGCTCTCAATGGTAGGCTGGGTGCCCACCCATGGCTCCTACAGCACCTCCTCTCTGTTGGCCTCAGCAGGTTTTGGAAGAATGAAGCTCTAAGATACAGTGCTGCCCTCCTGGTTGGGGTGGGGGTGGACGGGGAAGGCAGCAGTGACCAGTGCTACTCTCTCAGCTCAAACCCCACATGAAGGCAGCCCCAGCAGACAAGTCCCCCTGCCCTGCAGCCCACCTCTGCCTCTGTTTCCCCCAGCATACCCGGTCCACACTGGCAGGGGACCTCCTCTGTCTGGCAATGCTCCGGCATTATCAGGAACTGCTGAATGAGTGATGCCGGGCCCATCCATCTCTGCTCAGTGCTCTGCCATGTTCAAATATCACACAGTCCCCAGGTACCTCGTAAATCACTGTAATTAGGGGCTGTTCACTTAAAATTAGAGTGCAATTTTTTAAAAAGCAAATTGCCAGTAAGACATGTTGGCTGTGGCTGGAAATATTTATGGGGCTGCCTGTGCACTGGCTTCCTCTCCCTTCTGTCTGGCCGGCCCGAGCTGCCACCTGTCTTGTCTGCACACACAGTGGCCGTGTGGCTGGCGGGTGCCCTGGGGGAGACTGAGACACTCACCCTTAATGAAGACACTCGTGGCATCTGTTATGGCCACCACACTCCAGCCAGACTCTAGCTGGCCTGGCCTCGGGCTCACCTGACCCTCTGGAAGCAGAGCAGGTGTGCTGGGGGGTGCATGCCCGGCTCCTATCCCAGCTCTACCAAGTGAGCAAATCTCTGTGTCATGCTCACTCGGTGCCTGAGGCTGAGGGGCTTACTAAGCAGTGGTCCCACCACCCCCGAGCCCCAAGGTGTCTCGGCAGGTACGGACAACAGGCATGGAGGGAAGGAGGAGTCGGTCGGGGCTGACGAGACCCTGGGAGAGCAGACAGCACCTCGCTCCACATACCACTAACTATAGGATGTGGTGGGGCTCAGAGGCAAAGCAGGGAGTGTGAGAGATTCCTGTCAGAGCAAGACCCCTGCTGCTAAGGGTCCAAGAGAAACTCCATGAACAGGGAAATTCAAGAGGAGGAATCTAGAGATGGAACCCTGTGCAATGAAGGGAGCCCCGAATCCTGGCTCAAACAAGCAAAGCTGAAATAATGCAGTAAAATGATGAAACGATGCTCCTTTGAGAGACTGAGAAGTTATGTGAATATTGCTCATCTGTGACGATGGCGCTGGGGTGACGTGAGGAGGTGGCCACCTACAGGGCTGGAGCAGGGAAATGACAGCTGAGCCTGTAGTACGTAGACGTGCTCGAAACAGGAGAAGGTCACACCAGTGGACATAAAAACCAGAGGTCAGTCAGAGAAAGACACAGGAAAACTATGTAAGTGCCTGGAAATTAAACAGCACACTTCTAAATAATCCACAAGTCAAATGGGATGCCTCGAAGGAAATAAAGAGAACAGAATGGAAACAAGAATATAACATAATAAAATTATGGATGCACTCGAGGTAGTGCTTAGAGGGAAACTGATAGCATTCAGTGCCTGTATCAGAAAAGGAAAAAGATGTCAGATCAATTCTCTAAATTCCTACTTCAAGAAACAGAAGAGCAAAGCAAGCCCAAAGCGGGAGACAATAAAAAGTAGGAATGAAGCAGAAAACAAAAGACAGTTATTAAAACCCAAAACTGGTTCTTTACAACATAGCAAATGGCTGGGCAGGAACAGGGGCTCATGCCTGTAATCTTAGCACTTTGGGAGGCTAAGGTGGGAGGATCGCTTGAGCCCTGGAGTTTGAGAGCAGCCTGGACAACATAGTGAGACCCCATCTCTGTAATTAGCCAGCTGTGGTGGCATGCACCTGTAGTCCCACCTATTCGGATCACTTGGGCCTAGGAGTTTGAGGCTGCAGTGAGCTATGATCACACCACTGCACTCCAGCCTGGGCAACAGAGTGAGACCCTGTCACAATTTTTTTTTTTTTAAAGACCAATAACAATAAAATGGATAAATCTAGCAAAACTGAGAAAGATTAAAAAGAGTGAAATGACCAAAATCAGAATTGAAATGGAAATAACATAATAGATCCTGAAGCTATTAAAATAACAACAACAAAAAAACCCACAAAACTTTATGATCATAAAGATCTGGACGAATTCCTTGAAAACCACACAACTACAAAATGTGTCAAGATAAAATAGACAGCCTCAGTAGTCCTACAACAATGAAATAAATTGAGTTTGTTGTAATTAAAATGCTACTCAAAATCTCCAGTCCCAGATGGTTTCACTAGAAAGTTTTACTGACATTAAATATGAATTAATACCAATTTTACATAATCCCTTTC